TTACTGAAAATTTGGCCAGCGCTCGCTGAAAGAAATTATTTGCCGAGCGCTTGCAAATGCTGCATTGCTGCCCGCTGGCAGAATATGCGACCGTAAAGGAAGTGCCGCCCGCTGAAGGTTTGGCCACGCCCCAGAATTCTGCTGACCGCCTGCAGAAAAGCGCGAGTTTGCAGACCGCCTGCCCCCGGCGATTATCTGAGTTTGCGTTACAAACGAGCAATTTTTCGATTTCTTTGGAAACGGGAGATTTTCAGAAAAAAAGCTGGTTACAACCTTCAGCCACATAATTTCTCGTTGAAACTTTTCAGTTAAGCCTGACAGGCCCGTGTTCGTGTACTTACCAAGTTTCATACCATATCGCCATCTTTGCGTTGCAGACGGGTCATTTGATTTCACATCTTCACTCACCAATTATGCAAAATTTCTCGAAAAAAATGCGTATTAGACCTTCCATTCACATAAGATTTCATAGTTTTTCATATTTTGTTTCCACTAACCTCTCTTCGTTCGCTATGAAACTTGTTGCCATATCGTTACGCTTACTTTGAGAACTAGTCATGTATGCTATCAAAAAATAGCATCGTAGCGACGTCGCTTGCGGTAATTAGCGATGGCGCGGTTTGGCGCGCGCGAACTCCAGTGTTCGCCGGGTGTAGGCGTTTCTGAACCCGCTCTAATCGCAATGATAGTGATAGGTCAGCCCAAAGGTCACGCTTTGATTGGCTGTCGTACCAAAGCGAGCAGTTGACCTGTCAATACGCGTCGCAGTTTCGGACGAGTTTCGTTGTTAGCGTACATTGTGCACTTACACTCATACAACGCAAAGACGCCACAAGACTGCAGCGGCATGCAGTAGAAGCAGACGAACTTTAGAAAAGTTCAATAGCCATGAAAAAATACCACAAAGTGCGACACCTAGCATTTGACGTTACCCTCCTAATTAGCTGCTTGTACAAATGTTTGGAAATCAGTGACAAAATGACTAAGTTGTTTCATTATTCACGAACCCCTCTCAATCCTGCTTTCCCTTCTACAATAGTTTTCCCTTCTACAAATCGGAATTCACTCACATGTTGTTCTGACAAGAAGTCTCATAAACTGCGAGAACTTGAGCTTGAAGACTTTGCTTATTTGGTAGAGATGCCAGTTTAGCGATAACAGTCGGCGAGTAAGAATGCTTTCGATTTCTTCTTTACCGGAATAATGCCAAGAAACTCACTAAGATAGGTGACAGTTTTCAGAACCTGCGTTTCTGCATACTCAAGAGTTCCAGCAAAATACTGTGTAAAAAATATGACATCAAGAACATATTCGGAGATTGAATCGTCTAGCACTCTAAACAGGGTTCATGGCTTCAAAAACTCATGACAACCTAAATAAAGGCCTAGATCTTCAAAAGTTGACAAGAACAAGCAAGGTAGCACAGTTTTCAACAAACTGACTGTTTTTGTCAGCTGAGCACTTGAGCAGAAGTGAGCAGGTCTGTAGTCCAATGCAGCCAGCGAGAGAACCTTACACTAATGACATTTTATCGATACCGACTATCACTTTGATCCAGAAATTGATTTTTTCAAGACAAAGCTTTGAAATATAGATGACATTGAAAACTGACAGAGTTACTTCTCCTCTGAATTGGCTAACATTTGTCCAAATCCAAATTCTTTGCTGCTTTAAAAAGTAAAAAGAGAATTTTCCTGCTAATTTTTGTTGAAACGATCAAAAGCCTATTATGGACGCCGAGTTTTCGATAAACAAGAGCAAGATCAAAGTTGCTAAAGTGCTCGACTGCTGGTTGATATAACATAAATTACCAATTTAAAAGATTTCGATTTGTATCAGTGACTGGTAATACAGCTAAAAAAGTGGCGCAGCAGAATACAGCACAATCATGGAAGTAGATAACAGGAAATAGCGAAGCGTGCTTGCTTGTCTGTGTCTGTTTTTTTTGTTCATACGCGCAAGTGCTCAGGGCGCGCCTGCAGCGTATCGCGAAAATCTGTTGACTCACTTAACAGCTTTATCTCATCCTAACAATAAGTTTTTCTTTTTGTTCGTGTGTTGTACCCGGTAATTCCAAAGTGTCTGTTTTCTTTTGAAGATTTACCTGCCAAGGCTCACCTTCTGCATTGTGTGCCCTTTTATTAAGTTGGAAAGGAAGTTTTTCGGACACATTCCAAATATGTAGCTATTCAAACAAGTGGGGGGGGGGGGGGGGGGCTCATGATCAGTGGGGGCGTAGTTTGCCCTTTTTGATTACATTCGTTTTCAGTCTATGTATGCAAGTAGATGTATACTATAAACTGGAGCATGTGGGTGTTTCATAACGTTTATAGTAATAGGTGTCGGATGATTTCTGTCAAACTTTTCTTCTATTTTTTTTGGAATCGAGAAGCTTCCTGAAATAAACTAATTTTGCGACACACTTAGGACGGGCTTGGATAGCGGGCTCTATCCACCAGCATGCTTGATGCCGCAAAAGCACAAATGATCAATATGTTTACGCCAGTTTTGTGGACACTCAAATTTTCGATTTTTTTCTCCGATTTTTTTTCAGGCACTTACTTGTGCTTTTACTCTTCTGTAATTTTTTTAAAATGTACATAATTTGGCACTGTCTCTTATATGGCAACATCTGGTGCCTCTAGCGTTTCAAAAACGAGCAATGAAAAAAAACATAGAAAAAGAATTCAAAACTTTTTGACTTCTTCTTTTTATGTAGATCGCGCAGAGAATATAAAAAGCTTGAAAAATGATTTTTGAATGTTTTGAAGAATTTTTTCTCGCTAGAATGTCGATGATTGCCTGGATGGCGCAACTTGCAGAACCTCAGATAAATTGGGCTCCAAATTTTTTTAAAATTATGGACTGTCCTCTGTCGATTATCACCTTGTTCGATCTTTCGCTCATCAAATGGAAGAATGCCAGCTCAATGACGGAACCCACAAAACGTATTCCCTGTAATGTGGATGTTTTGCGCACGAACCACTGCTGCAACAGTATCGATGAGTAGAGCTTTTGACCCTGCCCACATACCGTAAACATGCTTTCAAAAGGCTCCGAGATTTCTAAAAATGAAAGAAAAGTGTAAAAAAAATTATCCGATCACCTAATAGTTGATGATTTGAGTTAGGTCAACTTCTGCCTGTCTGTAGAAATTGATTTCCTCCCTTTAACGGTGTACAGCATTCAGTGCTTACATCGAAACAAAAGCTTTATTAAAAAGCAACGCCTGAGAACTTTCTTTCCATTGCAAGATAAACTTGTTGAACAGGAGCGAGAAGTTGTGCAAGCAGCATTTTTGAGCTATTTGTGTGATTCTCTGGTGATCCCTGACGTGTTTTTATTTTTCATCCAAAGTTAATGAATTTCAAAGTTGTATGATTATCTAGTCTAAAAGTACTAAGTCCCTGATAAAGGAATAAGTTATCAAATACTGAGATTTCCAATGAACCTCTACTTGTGATTCATCGCAAATCTCATGGCTTCCATACATCGTTTGTTTTTATCAGAATATGCTTAGTGCTGTTGGGCTAAATAATTATTACAACTTCGGAGTGTTTTCATTGACTTCGAAGAAAGAGCACTTTAAAGAGAGAATTGTCGGCCGCTAGGAGTCATCAGGGAATTATACAAAGAGCTAAAATATGCAACTTGCACAACTTTTCGCTCCTGTTCAATATGTTTATAGTAAGGAGTAGTAGAAAGAATTGCACAACTTTTCGGTCCTATTCAATATATCTGTAGTAAGAAGTAGAAGAGATACGTGCGGATGAATAGACCTCGGAAAATCCAGCTGTTTAGAGCTCCAAAATGTAAAACTTTCTGCGCTGCGTTCCACTTCCCAGCGAGGATGTTAACGCATGACCTCCTAACAAGGGAAGGATACCAACATTAGTCGGCGATTGTAGATAAGATGTATATTATTAGACGCGCCTTTGAATGCTGATTCCAAATCTGCTTTCCTTTTTTGCGGAACAAGTTTCCAAAAGAAGTTGTGGGCGTTCAAAGTCCAAATTTGTAAAGATTTAAGTGGCCTAAAATTGGCGGAAAGCTGTGCAAAAGCACCAGAAAGTGGAAAATCATTTTTGTATCGAGTATATTGTTTGCAAGGAAGGAACAAAGCCGGTGAAATTCGCATAGGTGTTGTTTTAGAGCTTTGCGCTGATTATAAGCCACTCAATGCGTGGCAAATCTGGACATTCAAAAGCTCGTAACTTCTTTCGGAAACATATTCCGCAAAAAAGGAAAGCAGATTTGGAATCAGCGTTTAAAGACGCACCTAATGATATACGTATCATCTTCAATTGCCGACCAATGTTGGTATCCTTCCCTTATAAGATGCTTTATGGGAATATGTGTTACATGGCGAGGATTGCTGATGTATCCATCTTTGGTGATCTTTTGGCGAGAAACGAGGCTGAACCGCGAAACAGCATGTGAAGGCTGGACGAGGGGAAGTCGCGAGCAGAAGAGGTTCGTTGAAGTTGAAAAGAGCTCACCAAAAGAGAATCAAACCTCACCGCAAGTATTGACCACCTCCCCTGTTACAAATAAAATTTTTCTCCTTTAAGAGATAATGGGATGAATGCGCCCCATTAATCTCTGCTCCGATAAAATTTCATACAATTACGTTGCAGTGTCAGATCTTTTGAACATCTTTTTTATATTCTCTCTGTTATTTCTCGAGGTCCTCTTTTTGCCTGAAAAGTCCTGACTTTCGTTGAAGGAAAGCGAAAAAACGCAATAGAAACTTACATCGCACACAGTCTGCCTATATGACAGATGGTATGAATGTACAGGCTTCTACGACTACTCTAATTATGGCAAAGCTACACGTTCATAAGTTGTCAAATAGGACCCAAGTCAATTACACTCAAGCCTTTTATTTCACCAAGAAATGAAAAGCTACAGAGAGTTATGAAATATCACAAAAAATCCGCATGAAAGAGGATTTTGGGAATTAGCAAAATTCATGAATAATAGAATGCTGAATAAATTTCCTATTTGTCACTTGCATTTCTCAAACTTTGCAATGTACGGAGCACTGCCGCTTTACGCTTTTCCGCATCCTTGGCAATATATTGTAATCGACGATCTATATCATTCTTAGCGATCAATAAATTTCTATCGTAAAGCCATGACGTGTTCCTAAAAATTAAGTAAAGGACTGCGAACAAGATAAAACTGCTCCCATCCTCATTAACTATAAAATTTGAATTACCCTGGTGTACATAAGGACATATTGATGGATCCTCCTAGTGGGTTATACCAAGCGGCCGTAGATTTTGAAGCAATCCTGCAAAGCCCGTTTTCTTGGCACTTTTATCAGGTTGGTCCGGAAGTTCGTACCGTCTTCAAGGCTCGGCAGAGGTGGCTCACGGAGCAGGGTGGATATCTTTTCTTTTTGGAGTGAAGAAGAAAGGGGATATCGTTTTTGTGGGGTCAAGGACGGAGCCCCGAGAAAATATAGGGATAAATTAGTTTGTTGAACATGACATCACCGGTCCATTCGTTCAAATTGGAGTCTCAGAATTGAAAGTATTTCAAAAACCTTCTGATGCGCAAGGCAACCTAAAACTGGATTTAGAAAAAAATTTAACGAGTGAAAAAACTTTGAAGAGTTGGCAGTTTCCGCCCCTTAACTCAGCAACTTCGCAGCCCTCCTCTCCCCTCTCAAAAACAATATTATTTCACAATGCGTCAGAGCTGTTATTACATGAGTCGTATACATACATACCCCAGTTTTCATTGCAAACTGCCAGCTTCCATCCCTTCTCCCCCCCCCCCCCCCTCCACAATAACCCCTTCCCCTCTTTTATACATTTCTTCTCCTTTGGAGACGTTCAAGTGCTCAGCACTGCCCTACCTAACTGCTTCTCTGCGAAACCAGCAATTTCCCGCTCCGATATGCTCGCCGCGAAGCATATCGGAGCGGGGAAATGCCCCGCGAAATATAAAAGACTTGTTTACAGCGAAGAGAAAATGAAATAAAACCAAAATTGGTGCGTAGATGCGCGATAGGGAGTTGGAACCATGTATGCAAAATTATGAAAAAGCTACTTGAACTGAACGCTTGGCAAACTTTTTTAAGATTTAGGTGGCTTTTCAGCTACCTGGACAGCCATCTGGGGTGGCTGTGAAAAAAAGTCATAAATATCTCTTCCTTCACATAATTTTTTCACATATTTACATGACGTTGTTCTACACGAAAAACCCTACAATTAAGGTTTTTGAATCTCCACAAAACCGCTCCTTCTCGCTTAGTTACAGCCCTCCAAAATTTCGTATGGCGGCATGCTGCTCCAGCGGGCGATGGTGCGCGCCGGACACAGCATGCCGCCAACTCGAGGAATAAACTCTTGAGTTCCTTTTTTTTTCAAATTAGTTTTATATTTTGTTCCATTATTTTATGTTACTTGTGTTTGATTCATTGGTGATCGCGTCATAGGTGATATTGTATTTTTGTGGCGAAGTCTACGGGGGCTTCGATTTTGACAAATTGCAAAAGCCACCTCATGCCGAGCCCTGCCGTTTTTTGATAACATAAACACAGGGATTGAAGAGAAACGAACGCTTTAAAACATTTGACGATTTTGCTTCTCTTTCCAGCAGCTATGTTTGAAAGCGAGTTTCGTCGTAGTCGCTCCGTTGAGGTTTCGAAACCATTGTTTTGCCATGCTCAACTTTGACTAATTTTGATTTTATTTTGAGTTTTCACAAATACTTTTAAGAGGTTAATGATAAGTTTTAGCAACTGACTCCATAATTTTCAGTTTTTGATCTTCCCGCACTCATTTTTCAATGAGATCATAGTAGGAGCTACAAACTTGCAGAAACAGTTTACTTTCTAATAATAAAATAGTATAAATCCAAACATTCACCGATAACTAATGGAATTCGAGAATTTACGTGGTCATAAGCAAAAACTAATCCTTTCACAAGTGGACTATGCACGACAATCCAAAATTGTGTTTGAATTGTGTTAGAGGTTGACTTATTCAGCAAATAAAAAAGAAACGGTTTTCGAAGACGAGTTGAGATATGGCGCCCTCACGGAGTTGAACGACTTGCCGTACGCTGCTGGGAGACATCACTTAGGTCGCGGAACCTCTCAATTCGCCGAGACTTCGCATAGTGGGGTTATTACTTGCCGAACACCAATATCACATCACTTTGACGACTAACGCCCTCTATAGGATGAGATCTTATATCGTATTTCGCAATAATTCTTACTAAAAAAGCCCACCATACGATTACTGTACTGTTCTCGTAATCAGCGTATTGTATAACTCTCCTAGGCCAAGTTTCATGCAATTTTTCAACAGACCGTGATTTTCCCCTTCATATCACATTCATACCGTAACCCTCATTGCGATGCCAGATGCAATTGTTATGTCATAGCCTACATAGTGACAAAATTTGAGCGCGACATATTCTATTTGAGAGACAGAGAAAAGCTGCAAAATTTACTAACAATCCAACATAACATTAAGCGGAAACTCTATTTGCTTGTCATCATACATTTTCGAAAGGCTGAAATGAAGATTTTGAGATTTAGCCAAATTTGGACATTGTGAAATGTTAGCAAAACTCGACGATAATCAAGAGAGAGCCAGTTTGAGAACATGCCTGCTGGAAAGTGGAAGAAAAGCTGCTTCTATTGTTTGAGACATCTTTTTCAGTCTGCGTGATTTCGTGACAAGTCAAAGGCACGAACTTTCGGACTTAAGGCTTAGGCCATACTTTATCCGCTTGATTCACTTGATCCACTTTTTATTGGCTAAATCAGTGAACCGACCAATGGCGAAGTGGCTGAAGTAGATAAGGTGGATAGAGTGGAACAAGCGGATCAAGTATGGCGTGCCCCAATAGAACTACAAGTTTCTGATGCTGTGCATCGCTCCGTTATGAACTCTAGATGAGGTAGTTTGGTTATAATGCCCAAGGCAACGCTGAGATACACATACAGCTTCAATTGCTCCGCAGCAATGAGTTCCTTGCCAAGAGATCTATTGATTTAAGTGGTGAGGTCTCAAGAACTCAAAGGCACCGTCCACTTAATTTGATACCTTCCTCATAACCGTAACCTCGTATACGTATTTAGATAGCACATCTCAACCCGCTTTGGAGGTCTTTTTTGGCAAGCGTGGACGAGTGCAGCGAACACGGTATGCGCATCGATGGGGCTTTTCACATTGAAACGTGCAAAGAAAAACTGCTGAGTGGGCGGAGTGGACATAGGGACGGAGTCTCGAGCACCTGCCTCATTCCTGAGCGATACCCGCTTTGGAAGCAAACTTTCGCAGCACAACCTGCACACTAGTGGCCAACTCTTCATACATATTTTGTTCTTTCTTTCTGAGCCATACACGAGATTAGTAACTGATTTATTCACTCCACGGCTAACGTTTCGGCAAATCGCCTTCGTCAGAGCCTGTAAGGGACAAAACGATTTGCAGCCGATTCGAGCAAGTATCTTTACAGCTGAACAGATGAAGCGCTAAACCTTGGTTTCGATCACTAATTCAGCTGCGCGCAGAAGCACTACCCTCTGGATGAAGTCTCACCTCTCTCAATCTCAAAAACAGGGCATGAAACAAATACAAGAACTGATAAGATCATCACAAATAAGACTATCTGTAAGCGATAAAGGTGGCGAGTTCGTTATCATACCTCACCACTTAGACGTTGCAATAACAAATTGCAATAACAAAATTACACCTAAAGGACGCTTCGCTTTATCGACCTGCTTGCGCTGACGAATTCCAGAAACAATATTGCGAGCTTAACAAGAAATGGGTTGAAGTAGCGAAAGCAGCGAATATGTCCCACAATATCATTGCGCGTCTCAAAATAGATCTACCGGCTTGCCCCGTTTTGTGCCTATTAATAAAAACGCATAAGCTCAATTTCGATAAAGATTTGGCCTCTATTGATCCTGCTGATTTCAAGGTAAGACCAATCATAAGTTGCATAGGAGGACCAACGGATAGAATTGGGTGGTTCATTACATTAATACTCACACAGCTACTCAAATTCATTCCTTCCCACCTGGCCAACACGAAAATGTTTTTGGAACGTTTCCGCGGAACATGCATAGATAGTGAGTGTGTCATAGAGTCTTTCGATGTCAATGCACTTTACACGAATGTCCAAAACGAATCTGCATTGCAAGCTGTCCATGAGCTCCTTGTAGAAAACGAAAATTCTGTCAATCTCTACGGACTCTCGATACAGCAAATTATGACTCGCTTGCAAGCATGCCTGAACTGCAACGTTTTCAAGTGGCACGGGAGCTATTATGCGCAGAAAAGAGGGTTAGCCATGGGACAAAGGTAAGCTCCCACGCTCGCGATAGCTTACATGGCCAAAATTAAAACACCGGTATTGGGCTGCCCTTTGTTATACTGCCGCTATATTGACGATTGCTTCATAGTCTGTGCCTCTCAAGAAGACATGGACAAACGTTTCAAATTGTTGAATGAGCAATCTCAATACATACAGCTAACAAGAGAGAAGCCGAAAGATCAGTGGTTACCATTCTTAAATGTGCAGATTAATATTGCTTCTGGTGTGCACGTTACGAAATGGTACCGTAAGCCTAGTAACAAAAACATTCTTGTTCACTCGCTTTCGGCTCACCCACCATGGACAAAGAGGGCAATTATTAACAACATGTTTCGCACTGCCTCTCAAGTTTGCAGTGGTCCGAAAGAGAAGGCAGAATCGAATAGCGCTTGCCCGTAGTATAGCGACTTCTCACGGATACAATCATCATGCAGGAAGAACAAAGAGGAGTGCTAAAGATCGCGTACAGATAGGTGACCCTCAAGTTGTCAAAAAAGTTACATTTTGCGTCCCATACATATCGAAGGAAGTAAGCACATCATTACGACAATGCTTGAAGCGAGTAGGGTTTGAAAATCTGGTTACGATTGTAGAACTACCACCAAATAACTTACAGACCATTTTAGTTCGCAAGCGCATGTATGATCGCAATTGCCTCACCCCCAATTATGTAATCTGCCCTACAGGCGGATTGCATGACGACTGGAGTCATCTACTTAATCTCATGCACGGTTTGCGGCGACGAATACATAGGTGAAACGGCACGACACCTATGTATCCGCATTAAAGAACATTTAGACGGCAGAGATAAAGCACGTACAACGACACCCCTAGGCACCCATAGAGTACTGCAGCATGCAGGCTTAAGCTTTGGAATTTCGGTGAGAATCTTAGCACATGAATCCCAAACACAGGCACGTAAGTGTCTGGAAGCATTTTGGATTCACGCAAAGAACCCAAAAATGAATCGAAAAGAGGAAAACCTAGCAATTACGCATGAACTCTCACCTTATCTAGATCAGTTATTCTGATCTAGCAGAAATAAAGAACGGTTTGCATACACGTCCAACAAGTCCAATTCTCCAGCAGTGGACGACGTGAACCTCCGACTTTCTCTCTAATAGGGAAGTGTCGTCGTAATCCAGAGGATACGTGCTTGTGCGTGCAGCTGAATTAGTGATCGAAAGCAAGGTTTAGCGCTTTATCTGTTCAGCTGTAAAGATACTTGCTCGAATCGGCTGCAAATCGTTTTGTCCCTTACAGGCTCTGACGGAGGCGATTTGCCGAAATGTTAGCCGTGGAGTGAATAAATCAGTTACTAATCTCGTGTATGGCTCAGAAAGTCAGAACAAAGTATTGTCATCATGCCGAGATTCATTGAAAGTCGCACCATTCAATTATTCTTCGTACATAGTCTATACAAGCTTAACACATTGACGACAACGTGACCCACATGGTGGGTCATGGCATTAATTTTTTTTGAAATAATGACAATCACTGGGTACATCCGTTTCTTGAGGTTTTTTATTCTCTAACCCTAAAAAATACCTTGATGTTTCTTGGCCGCTTTCAAGAATTTACGTAGGTATAGTTAAGATGACAATCTGCTTGATTTTAGCTAGAAATCTTCGACTCGTTCGTGGAAGGCATTGTCCCACAAGGCAGACAACTAGAAATGCGCGTTGTCGTCAACGTGTTAATTCCCTATTTTCTTCTAAACTATTTTGTGGATGGACATGAGCTAACTTTTTGGATGTTTTTTGTTTTGTTCTTTGAATTTGTTCCTGGTTATGGCTTTTACCTTTAATAATCGAAGAAAGCTTGGCAAAATAAAGGGATATGAAAAATTGTTATGCGGCATTAGCTGTCTCCTCAAGTGAGCGACTTCGGAGTAAAAAACAAGTCTTCGGAGCCCAAGCTTTGCTATGGAAGGTCCACACTTTTCTTGGTCCTTCTCTTGCCCTTATAGGGATTTCTCTTTTCGGTACAGTTCGCACCACCACAGTCATAATCATATGGTTCTACATCAGCTTCAATTGTACATGATGGTGGATCATTTGTCCATCAATCTGTGTTTGAGTGCAGGTTTCTTGATGATCCGTTTTTGTCATTTCGCGCTCCTCTCCTGCTTGCGTTCTTGGAATCAGCTTAAAGAACATGCTCAAAAAGACAAGGGTACTTAGTGATCACTCTTAAGGAATGATGTACGCCTATACGCTGACCTTGGAACGCTGTTGTCAAATCTGCTTTCGGTTCTTGCAAGACTTTTCCCCGAAAGAAGTTATGGGGAATTCTTTCCCAAGTTCGTACAAGATCGGAACGCCACTGCAGATGCGTAGTGGTGTAATGATTGGTGTGATAGACTCACGAAGTGATGCAGGCGTAGGTTTGAATGCTTTTCGTTGCTGCTCCGCCTATTAAGGGGTTGGCCTGTAGATAACAAGTCCGAACTTGGGCTCTAATGTGTCCAGTATTGTCGTAACTCTGCCTTCACTTTGATCATCGGATTTGTGCATTTCTGTGCGCCCTGAATCTCAAATTCGGATTCAATCTTCTGGCCACCCATGCTGATGGACAAAGCTAACGTAGCCGCATCAACATTCTGGAGGTTTTCTCTCTTTGCGATTCATCTTTTGCAGCGAGACTTGGTCGGCTGCTTAGTTGGTTGTTCCGCTATTAGATAACATCAAAATCTCCCCCCCCCCCCCCAAACTGGGTGGAGATGGCGCCTTTAAGCTTCTTTTGTAAGTTCGGCATCCCTAAAGTAAACGCACACTGTTGTTCTTCCAAACAAGGAGAAGTGGAGTTATAACTATTGGCACTGAAATGTATTCATTCATCGAATAAAATCATTTAAAAAACACAAACACACCTCAACAGGTATATCAGGCACAAGCTAATTTTCTCATCTACGAATTTATACTCTAACTAGCAATATCGCCAACCGATTTCCTTTTAACTGTAATTGTTTTATTCAAAGGTGATTTCTCATCTGCTGAAGAAGTTTGGTTCACGTGATGTGAATGAAAAGGGGAGGCAAGGGGAGAAAGAAGGAAGACTTGGAATCAGCGTTCCAAAACGAGCGCATTGGCATACAACTTGCCTTGAAAGCTCACGGTCACTAAGTATCCTTCCTCATTAGATAAGAAAAAGCAGAAAGTTAGCGTGGCGAAGATGGACACCTTTGTTTGCTGTTTAAAAAGGCCTGCTTCTTTATTGTAGAACGAGGTGTACGATTTATTGCAAACTCACGGCACAGGTATAGAGTGATACGTCCTCAGCTGATTTTCTTTCCAGCCATGTATCATAAAATCTCTTTTTAAACTCCATAGACTATTTGTTATCCAGTTATCACGAGCCCATGCAGTGCCCTGAATAACACGGTAACATTTTCAGTAGACGAGTACTCTCTCCACCTTTGGTAAAATTTTTATCCTTCCTAGATAGATGCCTTCACCCAAAATGGATCTGATGCAAGCTTCATATAGAAATAGGTCGCGAAAGTTTTTGGAGTTGTTGTAAATGCTCAGACACCAATTCAAATTAGTATTATTTCTGCCCAGAACAACCTCGGCAACATAAGCCTAAGTCTTAATCATAAAGTACTGTAAAAATTTTGATTGATACTCACATGAAGAGCTCCATTATCTTTTGCATGGAAGCTTTTCGGTAGTCTCTCTTCGTATCGGGCAAAATCTATAAACGGTGGGGTAAGCAGATTTCATAAATAGTCTAAGCTACGCCTGTTACAACTGTTATCCATGACGCTCCCTTTGCACGTGCAACTTTCGGCATAAGTTTGGAAAAAATTTAAACACTAATCGGTGCATGATCATAATTATGTCGCGACGATGTCGATCAGGAACCGTAATGATGACGTCTGGCGGTTGAGCTACGCTTCGTCCGCAACGACTTCCCCTTTACTTCACATCATACCCTCGACAACGCTTTTCATGTGGCACTCGTGTCGAGTCCTGATTAGGTAACAAGGGAGTAATCAAAACTTGGTCCGACATCCAAATATGTTGTATATTATCGCAACGCTTATCTTAAGTATATGTTTATTATCTCTAAGCGACTGCAGCTAAAGAGCAAGTAAACAGAGTGCTCATGAGAATTCTAATTGCGGTAAAACTGAAAACAGAATTATAATTGAGGGAAAACTGCGTTCAAGTTGGGCGCGTATTCGAATGCGTACGTTACTTATTAACAAGCTCTCCGAAAGACGTGTGTTATTGAAACGTCGTACAGACTAATTTGGGACATTTTCTGTCCCACGTAAACAATTGTGTTGACTCAAAATTTTTGTGATAACACAACTGAGCTTGATCATTTAAAAGCAAATGAGCATATAAAATGATTCAAGACCGTTTTTGGAATAAAAAATACTCGTGAGCACATACTTAGTAAAAAATCCTTTGACCAAGTAGTGTTCTTCGCCAAATACGAGCCGGCCATAATTTCCCAATTACAAAACCGATCATAGAATATTATATCCACTTTGGGATCAATGTACTCTTCGATGTGCCTGCAAAGATGCAAAATTTACTGCTCGCGATGAACTAAATTACCTTTTAGGATTTACAGCGCCAAAGTCAGCATCCAAAAATAAGATATAATCATATGAAGGTAATATGTATGCTGCAACGCAGTGTCTTTGGAAGTAACCCTGAATGGACAGAATTTGGGACAGTTAAAAAAGAAAGAGGTAGTCTTGTCGTTGCCTTGACAGATTCATACTTTAAAATTTCTAGCTTCAGATTTTTTGAATGTATACAACTAAATATATTCCATTTTTAAGTCACTTTCCGTTATTTTTATAGATTTGATGTGGCTGCATTAGATGGCGCGTGCTCCTTGTATTAACTCTCTCATGATGAACATGTCTGCTAAACCTTTGTAATTAACAAAAACCGACCATATGGTTCACTTGTGACAAGCGTATTCAGTATCCCTCGTAAATGAAAAAGCGGCATAGAGCTAATTTTTGACATTCTGAGATACTGCGTTGAGCTGGCACATAAGTAATGCAGCTTCTTTTATAAATCGTGTCTTTTTGAATATAATGCGTTTATTCTGTGGCATTAAAAGGGTATAATGCAGGCTATCACTGCAGCTTTTTGCCGAATTTTGCCATCGATTGTAAGGGTTACAACAGGTTAATGGTATAAGGGGAGAATCTCTAAATTACTTCGAACGTTGTTGAAACCTGGTTTAGGGGGGAGGGGGAGGGGGGGGGGGCATGCTGATTATAACAATGATACCCATTCCGTATGAAAGGGCCTTTTTTGTAATACTAGAGTACGACTTTTGATCTTAGCAACAAACGGATATGATGTCCGTGTTCAGCATTGAAAGATTGCCTTTCCAGATTTGACGCATTCGACTTATTCAACATATCGAAAGTGCCGAACTTTGATTTGTCTCTGATGTCCATTACTTTTTTGACGCACTTTTGAGTCAACCTCTAGAAACGTGCCGCCTACAATATCGCCTTTATATGCTAGATTCGGGTTAAGCAGGGCTTCATTTTTGCTTAGAAGCCTTAAAACCTTGACTTGAATGGTGAAAAAATAGATTTTCCTTATTACTTTATCAAAAGTCGAGCGGTTTGGGCAGTCTTGTAGCAACTATTTCAAATCAAAAAATGAGAGCGTACAACTAAGAAAAGAATAGTTATGGGAGGCGCGATCATGTATCAACTTAGTTTGTACATGGTTAGCATGGTCGATATGGTTGATATGCAGAAACAGTGCGTTTGAAAAGTTTTTTTGGCTTACATTCTTTTGCTGGCATCTGTCTGTATAATGGCTCGTGTTGAGAACGCGGAAATCGTAGCCTTGTACTTTTGCATAGCACGATATACTGACTGTAATACTGTTTATCTGAAGAAAAAATTTATACTGAAAAAGAGCTTACGCATAGCTTTCTGGTATTTACCAATACCTTTGTGTCCCATTATGACTACAACAATAGCAATACGCTGTTCGGAGTGACTGAAATATACAAGAACAACTTCATTCCATAATTGACTTTGGTCGTGGATTTCTGTTCAATCTTCGGGAAACATGGGATCACGAATCCTATTGATAACGGAAAGAAGGAAATCATGGGGGGAGCGAAAAAAATGATTGAATGAAACGCTTTACATAACACACAGAATAATAGATGCTCTTTTTGGCGCTCCAACTTGACACAGTTTGTCATAGAAAACAATGACATCTACGAGTAAAAAAAGCAAAATATGTAGATTGTGGCGACAAAAATGGTCGAAGACTTCCATATCCCTTCATGCTTCTTAATTTTCTCAGACATTTGTCGTGTAGGCATACCCTCGATACATAGAGCCACGTACTCTGGTAACCTTCACTTTGAAGGCTATGAGGGGACACAACCTTCACTTGGAAAAAAACAGAAGCCATCCGGGGCTTCGCCTTGGATGTTATTATCCTGACTATATCGGAACGTATGTTAATGAAGGAAATATAGGGGATAATATCTCTAGCTTACTTCAGCGAAACCGAGAATTTGCGTTTTTATAGCCTTTTAAACGTCAAAAAGAATCAGCTAACCTCTTATTTGACCAAAATAGGGTTTCAAAAGTTTAGGAAAGCTATTGGAGTTAAGCAAAAACGAGAAACTGCGCTTAATTCTTGCGCAGAGATTCGCGCATTAATACGCTGGTCTATTTCGTTAGTGAGTGATTTTTAGAGCTTGGGGCGTTGTCAGTCCTCCTCGTCGTGTCATGGCGATCAGAATGATATATAACTTTGCAGAGTTTCGTTGAGACCCCGCTGAGATTTACGACCAGAGCCAAATGCCCTGTCGGCTCTGGTCTGCCTCCGCTGCTCGTCTGCGTCTTCGCGTGCTGCGCGCTACCTCGCTACCCCAAACGCGGGGCGCGGGGCATTTGGCTCTGGTACGCTTTTCTTCGCTGTTTCGAACCCATACTTTGCAAGCTATGTATCATTTTGAAGCTCTTGATCTCTGTTTTCACGCTGACAACGTCCCAGAACCATATTTTTTGATTTGATCGAGAAATCCGGCAAAAACCTTGTTTTCGAAAATTTCTTATTTTTCTCCTAGTTTAACTCTTCTCACGCGGTTTTTTCGTGCATTCTATAGATCTTGCTTCTGTTCATAATGCTGACAACCACCCAGCCCTTACCTCTTCGAGGTGGAATTTTTTGCGAAAAGTCGTAAAAAGTGCGTTTTTCTTTACCTTGTTCTGTTTCAGTGCTTTCGCATCAATTTTTTTCCAGCTTGGGCGATTGTTGCTCAGAACAATAAGCGCAACAATCCAGACAACGTCCCAGAAATAGGAACGTCAATGCGGGGTAAAAATTTAAAGGACGCATCAAAAATCAAAACCCCGTGTTGCGAATTGCTGGTCCTGGAGCGAAAACTTGCACTCTGAAAAACCGCCAAATGAAAGATTTCAAAATTTATTGCAGCGTTTTTATCCGGTTTACAGCGGTTTCTTTTGCCTTTTATATCTGTTTTACGTCATTTTCTATTCTCTGATCTTTGATCTTCTTCAAACAACTTTCACTATTTATGACGTCAGATGCTCAAACAACCTTCACTTTGGCGCCCTGTCTCTAGACTATCGAAGGTATGCGTGTAGGCAATCACCGGAAAATGCGCGTTGTTGAATTCTTGCACTTTTTTTACAGAATTACAGAAAATTTGGAACCGTTTTCGCGAAGTCGCTTGATTCCAACCTTTTCCTGATTTTCGGCAGAAACATCACTATGTTTTGTCGACATAAGAATTCAAAAAGAGGCCTAACAGAAGCTTGATCTGTTTTCTGAAGTCTTGAGGTTTCGTTATTTCGACTTTTTGAGTCGCCTTGTTGTTTACTTCTTTTCACGTCAGTGATGACGAAGAAGGTCTTTGTCTCGGTTGAGACTGAAGCCGTCGTCAACGCTCTGAATAATCAAGGCAACCCTACTCAGTACATCAAGATCAATCGCAAGCCATACAGCGATTTCACAACCAGCATCACACCGTTTTACAAGAACATCATCGTTGTCGCGAGGAGAGGTGTATGACAAGGTGATACTATATCGCCGAAACTGATCGGAATTATTAATCGTTATCAATTAATTATTTAACTCTTCACCCTCGAGAACATCATGTGAACGCAAGAATGGTACGCATGGTATCGTAGATTATCTAGATAATTTACAACCTTTATCACTGTAGATAAATCATGTATGTTATTTTCCACACCTGGTAGTTTGTCGTTAAAAACGTTATTGTTCACTGCCACTTCAGCCGCCAGGTCATCCCTTCACTGTGCTTGATGGTCTACTTGGCGGCGTCTACTTTTATGTAGGCAATTCTTGACTCTGTATAATACTGTTGTTTGGGAAAAATGAGCATTCAGGTTATTCACACCAAGAATAGTTGCATAAAAGGGCCTGAATACTCAGTTCCGGTGTTGGTTCGATACATTACCGATATGTTCGATACATTACCGATATCGTAAACGGCTGTTCCTCGAATATTCACTGTTGATAGTCAGCGCTGCTCCGCTACTGTCTAATAAACAGTCTTGGTTAATCCAAAAATGGCTATGTAAGCAAAGCCGGCAATTATATCACCTTCGCTTTGCTGATATCGTGTTTATAAAGCAAACATCAAGCAGGCCTAATAAATGCTGGTCCAATTCGACGAAGAGTGTGGAAAAGTGCCAAACATCAGTATATTGATAAAAGTACGAAATGAATTGCCGCAAAGAGTAAACTTAAATCTGCACCGTGGTCGAAAACACATGTGCAAAGTTCTAGCTCAATAGGTTCGCTCGTGTAGCCCCCAAGCAAGTTTTCAACCATCTTTTTTTGGTTGTTTTTGGGCTGGCATATGGAGCGATCATGACTAACACAACCGAATCGGAGCATTGTTAATCTGAATTTTTTTTGGAAGGTCAGCTTTTTCACTTCGTTGGTTGCTGAATATCCCTTTCTTGAAAAACTCGCCACAGAGATATACTGAATGATTGTAAGTTGGAAAACTTGTGTGTTTGTCAATGAAATTGAAATAGAAATTTTTCCAGATGCATGCGAATATCTATGGCACAGATGTAATGGATGCAAAATACCTTTTTAACAATTGTCCAGGATAGCCACCATATCCAACATCTTGATTATCTTCTACCACACGTACAAGGTTTTCCATACCATAGGATTTATTCCGTAAGCTATCACCCGTCAACTGAATTGTTCACATAGTTCTCAGGGTGAAAGTGCTAAGAATGACATCACTATTGTCTTCGTGATAAATTAGAAAATGATCTTGATATATTAGGTTGGTGCAAAAAATGATTGACGTGCTATAACGTTTTGAATAATCTACATTTTCCATTGCGAAAAAGAATAGCAGAGGCAGCAAATTTTTCGTAGTGCAACGCACATCCACCCATACTCATATCGCTCGCAAATGGGCCAAAAATATGGACTGATAAACAAAAAAGTTCTTTTCTGAAACCTCGTTTTTACAACCTAATACTTTATTGACACGAACGCTGCAGAGAGCCCCGCAAGATGCCTTTAAAACAGAGAACCTGCCACTGCAACCGTGCTCAAGGAAAGTTTAAAAGAAATGCCAAGAAAAGGAAGTTTTTGTAAGGTAGTCTAGGAGAATGCTTTAACAAAAAGCGATAGATGCTTAATCCTTGGAGATAGGCATACAGTCTCTTTCAATTTGGTGTAGGCCAGAACTTCGCGCTGTCGCGGCGCGAAGTTCTGGCCTACACCAAAGGTGGTAGTACAAAGGTGCTTGTCGCTGCGCTTGCTAATTCGAGGTAGTCAATTGGAAATTTGTAGACTTTGTCAAGAAAACAGGAAAAGGGGGGAAAAAGGAAGAACAGGGCAAGAAAAAATAGGGCACAAGCTGTTTTGTGGACGTGTTCATCAGCGAACCTGTGGTAAAATGTAGTCCCTCAAAGAACAATACCTTGAGGTTGACTGCTATCATCAAAATGCTCAAAGTTAGATTTACCTTTGCCAGAATGTGACATACACTGACGCTTATTCAGAGCACGCTAAGACATCTTAGCGGTGTATGAACTTCCTTACTGTTCGTCAATAGACAAATGTGGTCCAAATTATGGTCATGATTACTTATGCAGAGACACAAGAGCTCTTACTTATTCTAAACTTTTTGATTCCGTTATACAGCAGGACGATATGATAGGTAGCTATTTTCTTTGCCAGTCCCTATAAGACAAATCTGATATAATCACACCTTGCTAGAGATAGCGCATTTGCTAACTCTTATGATGACGCAAGCTCTTGCCACCATCTCCAGGTTATAGACCCCATGGCTTAGAGGCATATTACGGTTGGCTCGTACCGGCACGTGGCGGTACAAGCCGGTAGGCATTCCACAAACCATTCATTGGAATGCTACCTATGTTTTTGAGACACATTTTTTAGTCGCTTCTACGCTGATGGCTAGAAAATCTCACTAACCTTGAGATTATTTGTACCTTGAATTGCAATGAGGGTACAATACCTCAAGTTATGTTTTCATACTTACCAAAATTATTCATTGAGGATTAGACCTATGTCAGCATGACAAATATTGACATTTTTTGGAACATGGTAAGACGTACTCGCTGTGAATTGCTTTTTTATATTTGCATAATATTATTGGACTTTGTGTCTTCGTATCTTGATACGATTCAGTCGAATGCTGGAAAAGAAAGTCTGTCACAGTGCCGCAAGAAGGAAGGAAGTCTTTTATGACGGCTGGAAGAGCTAATATCAGGTTGTGACTATCCCATCGAGGAGGACCCAACGTACGATTACCTTCTGAAAGGACTAGTCTGCGGAGAGTGCGCCTCAGTGTCTGAGAAGATACTTGGAACGTATTTCAAAGACCACCAAGGAAATGCTCGAAAGAAGAAGATTTCTGAGGCAGGATCCGAATGCAGCCCATCTCTAGCGATTGGTAGCCAACGCCAGTTGCAGAACAACTTTGCAGGAGGATTTCAGGAAGTACAGGCAAGCCAAGATACGATAGAAGCAGCCGAAGGAAGACGAAGTCTCAAGAAGTGCCGAAGGGACCTCTGTGAATATCACGTACCGCTGGCTGCACTATCAAACGAAGACAGGACTCCGACTCCTTCCCGATACAAGATGGAATCTATCGCGAAGAACTTCTACACCAACCTCCTGCGCTCATCAACACCCGTGACGATGCTCGCTGTTCCCACTGGAGAAGTACCACCACGAATTCTACCTGCTGAAGTGCGCACGACGATTCAGACCATGAAGACATTTACGTCTCAAGGACCAGACCATCTTTCCGTCTAATTTTTGCGAGCCGGAGGACAACGTCTACACGAGTTTCTCGCATCGCTCCTGACATCTTACCTTCAGGAGGAGAGGATTTCCGACCTGTGGAGAACGCCAAGAACCGTCCTTTTCTTCAAGAGGGTGAACGTGAGGATCTTCGGAGCTACCGTCCAATATGCCTGCTGAGTGCGCTGTACGAGCTTTTCACAAAAATTACCCTCACTCGCATATCTAGGATACTGGATGAAGCCCAATCCCAAGAACAAGCTGGATTTCGCAAAGGATTCAGCCGTATGGACCACATCCAGACGATTTCGAGGGTTATAGAAGTCTGCCGGGAGTTCCGACTGCGTCGTGACCTTCGTCGATTACGAGAAAGCCTTTAACAGCGTCGAAACCAACGCCATACTGTTTGCGCAATTCGATCAAGGAGTGGATCCAACTTACCTGAGGACGTTAGCCGACTGCTACAAGGTCTCTACAACGACGTTGCAGCTGTTCCATCTCCCCCAACCAACCCAATCGGAAAGGGGGTCGGACACGACACAACTCACACTACTGCAAGGCAACCACTGCAGGGGCCTTGCAGTGAGTTATGAAGTCAGTGGACTGGGACGAGAGAGGCATACGAGTTGATGGGAGATTCCTGTCTAACCTTCGTTTTGCGGACAACATCGTTCTCTTCTCGAGCAGTGCTACTGAAGCAGAGACAATGCTGAAGGAACTAAGACAATGCTAAAGGAACTAAACGAAGTAGGAAAGAAGATAGGACTGCGATTAAATCGAAAGAAGACCCAATCCTTGAAGGATTCCGTATGCGAAGATGCAGAAATGGAAACTGAGAAATCAGCTGGATACGATTATAGCACCTGGAACTTGTGGATCGTGGACGCAACCACCGACGTCAACCAAAAAGATCGTGGATGTCTGAAGCAAGGGACAGAGACAAATGGCAACTTTTGTGTTAGAGCCCGCACGTCACTTGAGGACGGGCCATTTGCGTATCTAAGAAAGTGTGTCTTCGAAGCGTGAAGTATTACAGCAATGAATTGGAGAGGATACTGCCCACACAATCAACTACCCTAATTTCACGCGTACAAGGCGACCAAAGGACCCTATGCCTTGCTGTATATTGCTTAAGAGAATCATACGGCATAATGATCGCTTTCTGAAATAATTTGTAGCGGCTGAGGGGCTTAGTCGGAGAATCGAAAAAGATGCGCCTTGTACGTGTGAAATTAGGGTAATTCAAGTTTGAAAAACTGTCCGAAAAATTGAATACTTTCGCTTACCAGATCTGTTTGCTTGAGTAGCTTTAGCGTTTACTAATTGAGGGATATACAGAGCCCCACAGAAATGTGAAAACTCTTTACTTGTCAATAGAATCACTTGTTTCAATGTCTTTTGCCGATTTTTGAGTACCCTTCTGCAGAGTTGTTTATATAGATCTACGATATGGAACAAGTCTTCGATCTCGCTTTGTTACTGTGGGATTATGTTAGGAACTTTGAAGAGGGTTCTAAGCCACTAAGACTGGCTTGTCTCAAAAAGAATACCAAACAAGCCAAAACTCTTGTACTAGGCTAATCAAAGTCGCTGATTTCAATTATGGAATTTGCACAGCGCAGTCATACTTTTTCCATAAGATGATCCAGGTAAACCTTTACAACTGCTATGTTTCTCGAAAACGAAGTTTGATCAATAAAAAAGCTCAGAAAACTCGTAAAAAGTTGTATAATGAAATCAGCACGCGTGTAACTTTGCTACATGATTTTACACATTTTTTGGAACTTCTTTACGGTTCAGTGTACTTCACAAGGGCGTTGTATGTGGAAGTTCATATCGTAACCAAGAGGGATTGAAAAATCGCTTCATGCTGAAAATTTAATTGTAAGTTAAATCGGCAAAGGGTGTCGAGGCATAGGAGTTATTAATGATCAAACAGTGTGCACACTTTTTTTGGGACACTCTGTAAGCTTTACAAATGGATCATACATTTCTAACAAGCTAACATTGAATTCTTAAGTCAAGGTTAGGAATCCTGCTTACTTAGGTCCGTGTGCACGAACATCCTCTCTGGGAGGGGAGGATATCCGAGAGGAGACGCGTCATATTTCGTTGCTCTAAATATCATATCGGTATCCTTTTTATGTCGATGTTATAAAACTTCTTTATACTGATTTGGCAAAGCATTGCCATACAAGCTGAGATTTCCAGTAATTTTTGTAATTTTCTGGCGACTCGCAAGGAATCAATATCTGTTTTTAAAGTCGTCTATCTTTCAGAAAGCCTACAAAAACGTCGCAAGGTTGTACTGAAGATCTACTATGGCACTGCTGGTGATGTTTCCGACCACACAAATGGGTCCAAGGTTGTGGATCTTTCGATGAGACTTAGCTCGCGCAAGTGGTCCATCAATAATTTCGATATCCTTTCACCAATTTCTACCAAAGAGATGTTTAGCAGTGCCATACTTTCGGCACAATTATACAAAATTTTCATCGAGTTTATGAAAAGATAAATGACTTACAGAGGAAGGATACTTGGTCGAAGTCGAGTTTGCATATGAAATGTATATCTTCTTATAAAGCATGGAACGCTGATTCCAAGACTGCTTTCCTTATCTGCAGAGCACTTTTGGGAAGGAAGTTATGGAAATTTTACAGGAGTAGATGTCTTTCCGGCGCTTGAAAGGAGTATGGCTACTCATACAATTCGCAAAATACCTCCGGAGGGCAGTGAAAATTTGGCACACTTCCGGAGGGCGCTCTTAACCATTGAAAGGGCGGGGCGATGGTGACGTTACTCGCGGTGACGTTACCAGAAGCCGAGAAGGACACTTCCGAGAGATCCGCAAGTCTGCGCTCCGGAGATGCT